GCCCCCCCGGCCACGCCCCCCCCCCCTGCCCGCCGCCCCCGGCGCCGGACCCGCACGGACACCCAGCTCCAGTGCCGCTGCAGCCAGGGAGGGTGCACCAGCCCCGTGCCCCCCGCTGCGTGGTGCCCAGCCCTGTGGCTGCACTGTGCTCCTTTCTCCCCTCCAAACACCAAATCTCTTGCTTTAAACCTCGCTCCCTACCTGCAGACGCCGGCACGCGCTGCCCTGAGGATGCCAGCATGCAAGGCTTGGTCTGAAACGCTTCAAGAGTTGGGCTGCTTTCCCAAACGGCACGTAACCAAAGCCAAGGCCTTCCAAGCCATCTCGGTCCCTGAAAAGGTGTCCCCCCTTGAGGCTGTCCCTGCGTCCACTGGCACGGCCGTCAGCTGGTTTTAGCCTAGCTAGCCTGTGCTGCGCTCATTCTGTACCGGCCCCAGTTTTGCCAGCACCACACTGCCCGGTACCAAGGCTCACCTGGGTTTTCAGTGCACCAGTGCTGTCTCTGGCTGATGGCAGGGGGGGTGGGTGGCCGGGGATGCGCCGGGCACGGGTCCCTGCGGCAGCTCAGCCTGTGGTGCTGCATCTCCTGCACCCCACGGCCGCTGGGAGGCACCTTGGGGGGGCCCTTCCCCTGTGCCCCCCCCGAGCCTGCCATCAGCTGCCCTCTCTGCCTGCCTGCTGTGATCCTGTTCATTGCATGAATACCTGCACGCTTGTTCCCTCCTGGTCCTTTCCAACACCCCCAGCCTCCCGCAGCATCCAGCACCAGCACCCCTGGACCCGCTCTCCAGCACTGGCAGCAGTAAATCGCCCGAGGCCGCGCGCTCAGAAAGCTCAGAGCCCTCGGTCGTCTTTCCTTCCCCTCAGGTGTGAAGTGTCGACCAGCAGCGGTGGGATCCAGCTGCACTCTCTGGGCTATTGCCCAAAATCCCAAACAAAAAGCATGTATTGATCCCTTCCTCTTTTCCTGCAGTTTTAGGACGGGCTGTGCTGTGCCCGCAGGCGCGGCCGGGCGCTGGTGCTGCGGCCCCATTTCCCCTGGGCACTGCCCGCAGTCCGGTCTCCCACCCTGAAGCTGGGCAGCTTTTTATGATTCATGGCTTTTCATTTGCATTCGTTTTCATGTTTTTTAGACAGATTTCTATTTTAAGCTGCATCCTCTTCCTCTCGGAGCCAGGGTGGGTTTTTTAACCGCCGCTGCCTTGCCTGTGGCTCCTGGGCATTAATCAGCAGGTCACTCCCCCCCGCCCAGCTTCTGCTGCCCTGCTTGCCCTCCCAGCTCCCAGCACCTTTGGACTTGGGCATTGGGAAACCATGCTCGGAGGGACCGAGCTCTGCTCCTGACAGCTGCTCCGCGCTGCTTTGGCCGTTACTCCGAGGACTTGGCAGCTCCGTGATTTTCCGAGACAGTGCTGTGGGAGGGCTGACAGCAGGGATCTCTCCTCGGTGGTTCCTGAGCCCCCCCGGACACAAAATCTCTTCCTTCCCCGCTGAGCATCCCTGCTGCTGGCTGTGAGCGCTTTGCAAAGCCCCTCGCTCCACCATCCCATCCTTCCCCGGCCCCCCGCTGCACCGTCCCACCCTGGCACGGGGGGGCACATGGCATGCACAGCTCAAACACAGCAGAGGTGCCCCCCCGGTGCAGAGGGCTGGGGCTGGACCCAGCTCGGCTCCGGCAGGCACAGGCACGGGCGCAGGCCCCGCACGAGGGATTTGTCCTGCCCCGGTGAGTCCTTGCTGCACGTGGAGCTCCCGCTGCCGCGTCCCCTGCTCAGCACCCTGGGTGCACCCAGCCGCAGCCCCGGCTCACCACGACCACATCCCGGTGCTGGGGCACGTTGCGGAGAGTGAGCAAGCTGTGGTCACCGCGCTGGTGGCCGGCAGCAAGCTGAGCTTAGCTCAGGCCACAGCGAGAGGCGGGGGGGCAACTTGTGCCGAAGGCACATTTGCTGGGGGCTGCAGATGCCGGGGACAGCGAGCGCAGCCCCACTGCGGCCGGGCGCAGCCAGTTGTGTGTGAGCCCCCCCGGCTGCCTTGCGGTGCCTGGGGCTGCCAGGGCTGCAGCCTCACGTAGGAGGATGCTCCAGCTCAGGCACCCGGCAGTTCCTTGGCAAACGCTGTCCCAAAACACAGCGCTACCTGGGGGCACGGGTTTTGCCACCTCCCGCTGCTGCCCCACTGCTCGCCTCTCCGCCAGGCAGGCTGCGTGGGTGCCTCTGCAAGGTGCCCAGCCCTCGGAGCCCTGTGCGCTCCCAGCATGACCCCAGGATGATTTGGTGGGGGGGTCACTGTGAGTAAAGCCCGAAGGTATTTATTTAGGCACCCAAAATGTGGTGGGCTCTTTCCAGGTCCCTGCGCACAGAGGCAGGAGGCTGCTGCAGCACTCCCTCCATCGTGATCTGCATCTTTAGTCCCTCTGACGCCGTTGCAAACCTGCCCCTTGCTTTCCCGTGCCCCTGGTCCCCGCTTGCTATGATGCTCAGTGGTGGTTGTGTGCTCAACCTGCAAGGGAGCTGCACCAGCTTTTGGGGAGAGCTACTCTGCCCTGGCAGGGAGAGCAAGCGCTGCCGCAAGTGGAGATGCGTCTTTACCCCCACTTGCCAGAAATGTGAGTGAGAAACCCCCCCGTGCCCCCAGCCGAGGCTGGGGCAGGAGGAGTGCTGCTGGAGCCGGGGGGCACGGTCCCAGCCCAGCCGCACGCCAGGACAGGGCACGTGGCAGGGGGGCCAGAGACCCCTAGGGTGATGCCCCGCTCCCCAGCTGCCGTGCTGGGGGTCAGAGCCCGTGCCCGTGGGCCAGGGGAGCGGGAGCTGTGGCGTCCCAGCTCATCAGCTTCTCTGCAGCATCGCCTTTGTTCTGCCCGGTCCCTCCTCCCTGCCATGTGCTGAGTTAGGGGTTTCAGTAATGCTCTCCTGGGCTTTGTCTCTATCTGGAGGCTATAAAAACCCAGCCGGAGGGCTGCAGGACATGTCACCTCCCCAGGCACCAGCACCTCGCCCCAGGTAAGCACAGGAGCCTGGCAGCAGCAGCCCCTGCCCTGTGTGGCTGGGTCCTGGGAGCCGAGCAGTTGTGGGGACGTGTGGAGGACGATCCGAGAGCCGGGGCTGGACCTCGGTCCGCAG